GAGTACTGAGGAATGTGTGGAACTGTTGAGTCATTATGTCGTACACTTGGAACTAATATAACACTCTATATTAACTATAGCTGAATTAAAAAAAGGATAGGCTTTGCTCTTGGCTTTCAGTCCTCATTCTCCAGCAAAGGAACCTGCTGTAATGACTTTGGGGTTGTAGATGCCAGATTTCAGAGGGACTGAATATACTTTGTGTATTTACTGCAATTATCAGTGGAGGACATCACGCAACATATAACATTTTCCTCCTTGCAAGGATTTATGGAAAAATTTTCTCAAATTGTAATACTAGGAGCAACCATTTTGTTTTCACCTTGTGGACACTGGGATGAGGTAATTAGATACTGTTTGAATATTTCTTCCTCCTTTGCACTGGCTGCTAGAAAGCCCCAACCTAAGTCTGGGATCCATTTTTGTGACACATTTCAGGTAATGTACTTATGTACAAATTTTATCCTAGCTTCATCTATTTTTCCTATACTTACCTTTCAATTTCTTACATTTTCTTTCCAACTACTTTGCTGTCCTACTGTATGCATTTTATAAATTGTTTTAGATTATATTTAATAAAGATGGGTATAATAACAGACACAGGCGAGCTATCTTCATGTATTCCCCTTCTCCCTTCCTTCCCTCTCTTCTGCCCTGGCTGCCAGAAAAGTCAGGAACTTTTTTGAATAGTCCCTCACCAAAAAGAAAAGAGGCTCCTGTTACCTTGTCACCCTTCTTGATGGTTCTGACCTGGAGCTTGCTGATAGCTTTCTTTGCTGCATCTCCCAGTCGGCGCTAAAAAAAAAACCAAAAGCTGCTTGTTAGTAATAAAGATGTGTAATTCTTGACGTTGTTTCTGATGGCATTTAACAAACTGGGGGCAGCTATCTCTGAAATCATGCACAAGTGGCATGAATATTAAGGACAATGGCTGGAAGAGATGGGGTGGTGGTATCTGTGCAAAGTGGAGCTAGTAATTGAGGTCTATTAAAGCGCTGTCATCGAGAGAAGCTCTTCATGCCCAATGTTGAGCAAGTGGCAAATGGCCTGGAAAAACCCTGCCCTACAGTGACTCCAGCACAGGTTACATTTATGCAGACTGGCACACACACACACACACACACACACACACAGAAGTTTAGTAATTTGCCACTCTAGCCATTTAATTTGTGACAAGGAGATAGCCAGTCTGGAGCAGTTGGAATAAATTTCATGTTCTCTTTTTCACAATCAGGGTTTACTGTTTACTGTTTGTAGATTTCTTTCCATATGGAATTTTAAGGAATTTCCTTTGCTTTTATAGACCTAGCATAGGTTTATACATTTCATCTGTACTATCCTATCCCATCACATTCTTCCATGCCAATTTCACCTCCTCTGTGTATGTTTAAGTGTGGGTGTGCCTATAGGAAAATACATAAAACATACATGTTCAGCTTAGCAAATAATTATAAAGCAAACACCTGTGTAACTACTGTCACTCATGTCAAATAATATATTAGCACTCCTTTAAAAGTTTTTTTTTGATAGAGAAAGTTGCTATCCTAATGAGCCCTGCAATCATGTGATTATAGGGCAGGCAGGAAGAAGGGGAGCGGGGGAGGGTGATGAATTAAATTTTAATCTGTCAAGATTTGCTCGTGTGCTTCTGAGTTTCCTACATGTAGCAGCTCCTTCTTAGGTTTGTGTACTATGACCCTGTAATAGACACGTATTTGCAGCAGTGAAACATATTTGAAGGCTATGATAAATGAGACAAACATTTACACGGAATAATCACTTCCTTTCACTAATTTTGTTCCTTTTAGGAACAACACTCAAGCTTCTTTCTTTTCTTTAAAATTGTGAACATATCCTAGTGAACGGTTAACATATTCTGCATACCATGCTAAAACTTTATATGCAATATCACCTTTATTCTTACAACCCCGTGAGAAAAGAAAATACTATTTTATAGAATGAACTGAGACTTACAGAGCTTAAGTAAATCGTCTATCATAATCAGCGAATGGTCAGTCAGAATCTGAATAAAATTAAGTCTGACTTGAAAGCCAGAGCTAAACCACCACTGTAATTATTCACTAAACCGCCCCATCAACAAACTGGCCAGTCATCCAACCAACCAACATCCTCCCGGTCAGCCAGCCAGCAATCAACTGACATTTGGCCAACCAGCCAACCAACCAGTATCTACCAAGCTAGCCAGCCAACCTACCAATCACTGAGCAGCCAAGCAACACCTGGCCAGCCAGCTAACCAGTTAACCAGCCATTCAGCCAGCCAAGCAACTAACCAACCCAAATCTATTAAGTATTTATCATATGGCACTTCCTCGAGCATATTACAGTTAAAGTAAATAAGTAGAAGAGAGGTGTTCTCCTTGTCAATTCATTTTCTTTTTGATATTGTCATTAGTTTCTAAAATGATTACTGGCAATTTTAACAGAAAAGTAAGTTTGGTTCTGACCCAAAAGGAGACCTACATACACTTGAGATTTATGCAGAAGTCCATGAGAAGCTAGCAGACTAAGGTTGCAGGAAAAAACAGGGAGAGTCTGTAATGATAAATACCATGGTGGCGGGTGGACATTGAGGGAGAGGGAAAAACACGGAGATGAAACTAAAAAAGGATGGAACTCTCTGTCCTCTCCTCTTTCTCTAATTCCTCCGTGATCATCCTTTGATCTAAACTCAGGCCACTTTTTCAGGGAGCTCTTCCCCCACGTCTCCCAAGAGGGAAGATCCTTCTAGTCCATACCTTATGGCACCTGGTCCCTCTGCTTCATAGCACTGTCATAACATTTACAATTTGATATTTGTTTTGATGATCAGTCTCTGTTAAATTTCCTTCATGTAAACTCCCTGAGGGCCAGACTGTGTTTATTTTTGCTTCTCATTGTGTCCCAGCACCTAGAATAAAGATGCCTTTGATAACTGACAATTAATCATTCCACACGTATTTTGGATCACGTATTTTGTCCCAGGCATAGCTCTGGGTTATGGAAAGAATGGTGGTGAAAGGAGGCGTCTGGCTGGCTCAGTCGGCAGAGCATGCAACTCTTGATCTCAGGGTTGCGAATTTGAGCCCCATGTTGGGGATAAGAGAATACTTAAAATTTTTTTTTAAATCTTTTAAGAAAAAGGGTAGTGGAAAAAACCCACATAAATTCCTGTTCTTTTAGCTTACAATCTAGTGGCAAAGCCATAAATGGTTGGTGAGTGAATAAAATTTTAAACCAAAAGAGTTTTTTTAAAGCATGGAAAACCATCTATGAGATTTAGCCAGTTAACGGGAAAATTAATGGACAAACTATAAGCAATATAGGTGGTGAGGTAAGCAAATCTGTGATCTTGGCCTTGGCAAAACCAGTCAGTCTCAACCAAGAGTTGGTTTTCATTGAAGAAGCCTGGAGCAGGAATTAAAAGGAATAGAGAAAGGGCAACTGGGAGTAAGTTACCAGGAATTAAATGCAACAAACCTGCAAAACATTACGTTTAGAATAAGAAATCTGGACCCAGATAAACACATGTTGATTGTTTTTCAGTCAAGAGCTCAGGTATTTTTGCAACTGTGTTTATTTTTTTTATGATTTTATTTATTTATTGGACAGAGAGTGAGTGAGAGGGAGAGAGAGAGAGAGAGAGCACAGGCAGGGGGAGCATCAGGCAGAGGGAGAGGGAGAAGCAGGCTCCCCTTTGAGCAGGGAGCCCGATGCAGGACTCAATCCCAGGCCCCTGGGATCATGACCTGAGCCGAAGGCTGACGCTTAACTGACTGAGTCACCCAGGTGTCCTGCAATTGTGTTTAATTATATAATATCTGTCCCCAACAGAATCACTTCAACTGTTTTTTATTTTCAAAGACAAAGCAGAGCAATTAAGTGGCAAATATTATTTTCAAACAATGGTCACAGAGTATACTCAAAGGAAGATCAACATTTCTAAAGGAGTGAACCAGAAATTATTTTTTCAAAGTTTAATTTTATCTAAAACATTTCTTTAAAAAATTTTTCATAAATTTTTATTGAAATTCAAAACATAATTAAGTATAGTTTTTTTAAGTGTAAGTCTACTAATGAAGAGAATGGAATTGTTTTTGGTGGGAATAACATTTCCTTTAACTGGGGTTCAGAGTTAGTGTTTCCTATTATCAGAATCACCTACTGATCTGTAATGAGGTTTTATGTACTGTACTGATTACACTGTTTTCTATTCATTATTCTGTGTGATAGACAATACAAGGGAAAAATAATGAAACATAAGGCATAACCCCTGTTCTCATGGGATTTAAAATCTATTTGTAAAATTACCATTGCAGTGGGAGAGCAACCTTGATAAATATAGTATAGCATTACTGCTTTAGGAGAGAGATGAAATAGTTTGCTAAAACTGCCTAAAATAATTTTTAAGACAACTTATATAGTTCTGAAGGAGGATATGGATAAAAAAGTGAAGCTAGGCACGTCCTTAATTTTATTAGAAAATCGGTAGCGTGGCTTATACTAACTTACACTTTCAATATTCATTTTCTTTTTCATGTGGCTATCTCTTAGTATTGTTACTTCATTATATAATAGCTATTTTTTTTTTTTGACACAACCCAAGAGGAATGTCACTTTTTAAAAAAGTTTTTATTTTAAGCACCGGTGCTCATCACAGCAAGTGCACTCTTTAATTTCTATCACCTACTTCACCCATCCTCTTAACCTCTCCTCTGGTAACCATCTGTTTGTTCTCTCGTTTTTTTCCCTTTGCTCATTTTGTTTCTTAAGTTCCACATACGAGTGAAATCATATGGTATCTGTCTTTATCTGACTGATTTATTTCACTGAGCATACTCTCTAGCTCCATCAATGTCGTTGCAAATGGCAAGATTTCCTTTTTTAGGGCTAAATAAATTTCCATTGCATCTATACACCACATCTTCTTTATCCATTCATCTATCCACGGACACTTGGGCTGCTTCCATATCTTGGCTACTGTATATAATGCTGCTATAAACACAGGGTGCATGTCTCTCTTTGAATTAGTGTTTTTGTATTCTTTGGAGAAATATCTAGCAGTGTGATTCCTGGAGCGTAGGGTAGTTCTATTTTTAACTTTTTGGAAACCTCCATACTCCAAACTTCCACAGTGGCTGCACCAAGTTTGCACTCCCACAAACTTTACAAGAGGGTTCCTTTTTTCCCACATTCTCACCAACATCTGTTGTTTTTTGTGTTTTTGATTTTAGCCATTCCAACAGATGTGAGGCAGTATCTCATTGTAGTTTTGATTTGCATTTCCCTGATGATCAGTGATGATGAGCATTTTTTTCATGTGTCTGGTGGTCATCCGGATGTCTTCTTTAGAGAATGTCTGTTCATGTTTCCTGCCCATTTTTAAGCTGAATTGTTTTTTGGGTGTTGAGTTTTATAAGTTCTTTATATATTTTCGATACTAACCCTTTATCAGATATGTCATTTGCAAGAATCTTCTCCCATTCCATAGGTTGCCTTTTAGTTTCATTGACTGTTTCCTCTGCTGTGCAAAAGTTTTTTATTTTCATGTAGTTCCAACAGTTTATTTTTGCTTTTTGCTTCCCTTGCCTCAGGGGACCTATCTAGAGAAAAGTTGCCAAGGCTGATGTCAGAGAAGTTCCTGCCTGTGCTCTCTTCTAGGATTTTTATGTTTTCAGGTCTCACAGTAGGTCTTTAATTCATCTTTATCTTTGTGGATGGTGTAAGAAAGTGGTCCAGTTTCATTCTTTCGCATGTTGCTGTCCAGTTTTCCCAACACCATTTGTTGAATAGACG